TGGTGTGAGCATAGCTCACTGTAACCTCAGATTACTAGGCTCAAGTGATCCTCCTGCCTCAGCCTCCTGAGTAGCTGGCACCACAGGCATGCGACATGGCACCTGGCTATTTTTTTTTTTTTTGGTAGAGACTGAGTCTTGCTATGTTGCTCAGGCTGGGCTTGATCTCCTTGCCTCAAGTGATCCTCCTACCTCAGCCTCCCAAAATGCTGGGATTTACAAGCATGAGCCACCATGTTTGGCCTCGTTTGTGTTTTTTAAGACTGAGTTGTGCTTTTATACTCTATGCATTTATATCCATAGAAAAATACCTGTCAGGACATACAAATAACTGTCTGACTCAGTCTGACTTGATCCTGCGTGATGCCCAGCTCCTAAGTGCAGCTCCTGGTACATAGTAGACATAAAACAAAAATTTCTAAAACAAGCTTATCAATGACTAAGTAAATGACAACTAAGGGAGGGATGAGAGAGAAGAGGATTGTTTTCTTTACATGCTGCACCTTTTAATTTTTTTTTTACAAGAGCTTTTTTGTTACTTTTATAATTAAAAAGAGGGAAAAATGGAAATTATAAATGAATGTGCTAATTTCAGAATATTAAAATCACTATAATTCCACTGCCTTAAGAGAATCAAGATCAACATTACATTGCTAATATCACATAATATAATTCTTATATTTTCATACTCATGCCACCGTGAGTTGTAATTAAAAAATTATTTTTTGCTAACTTGAAAATTGAAAAGTGGTATCTTATTTTAATTTTTACTTCTTTAATTACATGTAAGTTTGAACTATCTTTCATATATTTATTAGATACTTGTTTCTATGAATTATTTATTCTTGTATTTTTAGAATTTTCTTTGGGATCCTTGGTATTTTTCTTATTGAATTATACACATTCTTTGAATTGTGATCCATTTTCATTTTCGTAACAAATATTTTTACCAGGTTGTTGACTTTTAAGTTGTTTTATTTTATTTTGCATCAGAGGTTTTTAACATTTATATAACCATGTCTGTCCTTGCTGTTATGCCTGCTATCCACACCCAGATAGCAGATTGATTTTCATGGATAATGTCATCTTTTTGTGGTTTCATCTTTTATATGTAACTTTCTGATTTATCTGGAATTTGTTTTTCCTATATAGTATAAAGCAAAGTTCTAAAAAGATTATTTTCCCATAGCCATTTTCTCCAGTAACATTTATTGAATCCCCTTCCCCACTAATTTGACTTAGAACAACTTCATTTTAAGGTTTCTTACTATTCTTTCAACTCATTTTCTGTTGATGTTGTACTACTTCTAATCTTTATTTTATTGATATGCTTACTGTATAAAGAATAATCTATAAAAGAACATGTTCAGAATCTGTATTAATAAAAAATAACAAAAAGAATTTTTGAGATAATATTTTTCAGAATACAAATTTGCCTAATTTTGGATTAATAATGAACTTTTTGGTTTCCTGATGGGAATTGTTACAATTAATGTTTAACACATAATCGAAATGTTCATTGTGATCTCCCTTCAATTTGTTTTAACAGCATCTTATTGCCAAAGGCTCTATGTATGATGAGCTTATGGCTAGAGCGGAGGATACTTTACAAATGGATATACAAAGTATTTCAAGCCAAGAGTCCCTCCAACGTGTTATCAAGGGTGGGCTTCAGACAAAGATTCAAGAAGCTAAAGAGAAAGTCCAGGTCTCTTTTTAAAATTCCCTATTTAACAAATCCTCTTCTTTAAAACTGAGCAGTCAGTGGGTGGGTGACAAAGGACAGGGTGGCCTTCTAGCTTGGAAATATTTTGTAAAATATTACTTTTACATTATATTTTATTTCTTTATAATTTATAGTATATTGGCAAATATAATATATAATAAATCAGATATTCTTTTGTCTAGTGGGAAAATATGAGTTGCTACTCAAAGAAAATATATATTAACTTCTAAATTTACAAAAATGTTGGGCCAGGTGTTAATTTGAGAATTTTTTTGTCTTTGCAGATCAATGTAGTAAAACTTGTTGCAGTGTTGAAGAGCTCAACTGACATTTCTCCAGAAGTGGATGTCAGGCTGAAGATGGAAGAATCACTGAAGGAAGTTGAATCATACATCACGAGGGCTGAGCAGTTACTCAGGCAGAGAGAGAACCCTGGTGGACTCATTTCAAAATATAAGGTGGGAATCTTTTCAGCCATCAGGTGTAGGATATTTATTATTAGGTACCTATCTTGTTTAAAATCGAGATGTTTCCTTTACTGT